AGTGCTCTGGGCTGGGGGACAAGGTGGGGATGGGGCACAGGGTGGATCCATGGGCTGGGAGGGCTTTTCCAACCTCAGGGGTTCTGTTGTGCTGCCTGCTCCGGGGCTTCTGATGCAGGAGCAGTTGGTCAAATATGGATGATGGAAAAAAACCCGCTGCCAATAATTAGAGGTGCATAAATCTCGCATTTAAGAAGATTAAATTGAATTAAATTCAATTCTAAACGGTATTTAGAAATATAATTCCAGCATTCTGTTTAAACCAAAAAGGGATATTTTTCTCATTCCAAACGAGATTTTTCCCTTCCCTTTTTGCAACCCAGTGTTGCTGCCTGAGGGAAGAGTGGATGGGACAGTCCAGGTGCTGCATCCACAGGCCCTTCCAGGCTTCCAGGTTGTTTTCCAGTGATCTGCATTCCCTGTTCCTGGATGAGCTCCCAGCACTCCATCCCACCGGGATGCCCTGGTGTCCTATTGCTCCTTCCCTCTAAATTTAGAGCCTCCCTGTGCACAGGGATGTGGGAGCGAAGGCTCCTCTCCATCCATCAGCCCCATTCCCGGGGCTCCGTGACGGCTCCATTAAACACGCGCTCGGCAGCCGCTATTTTTAGGAGCCGGGAAGAGAACGAGCCTTTGGGCTCTGGACAGCCCATAAATCCAGGGCCAGCCACCAAATCCCCGGCCTTTTCCTCGGGAATGACGCCCAGAGAGGGGTTTGTGGTCCGAGTGTCCAGGCCTGCGCGGAGGGAAACGGGGAATGAGGAGGAGGAGGGAGAGCAGGGGGAAGAGGGGCTGAGGCACGGACATGTGGGAATTCTGGTGGGAGGAGTGAGGCAGGAGGAGGGGTGCCCTTGGGAATGGGGGGTGCTGTGTCCCCCCTTCCTCTCAGGGGGCTCTGGGGATCTCACTGAGGTGTCTCCACATGCCATGAGTGGAAAAGGTGGATCACTGGAACTGTTGGGACCTGCTGGGGCTGTGCCATGGTGGCACCTCCATGGGAGCTGTTTTTCCTTTCCCTTTCCCTTTCCCTTTCCCTTTCCCTTTTCCTTTTCCTTTCCCTTTCCCTTTTCCTTTTCCTTTCCCTTTCCCTTTTCCTTTTCCTTTCTCCTTTCCTTCTTTCCCTTCTTCTCCTTCTCCTCCCTCTCCTCCTTCTCTCTTTTCTTTTCCTTTCCTTTTTACTTTCTTCCTTTTTCCCTTCCTTTTTTCCCTCCCTTTCTTCCTTCCCTTTTTTCCCTCCCATTCCCATTTGCCATACATCCCTGCCAGCTTGTACAGCACTGTAGCTTGCACCTTGTTCCCGGGCACGACCAACAACAGTTGTCCCGATGTTTGAGGTTATTTTCCAGGTCTCCCCATCCCACCTCGTTCCGCTGGGAAGCGTTTGGGGCTCGTGCCCAGAGCAGCATTGCTGGAGCCGAGGCTGCTCCCTGCTGCCGTCGTCTGGGCACTCCCAGCAACGGAGCCGGAGCTTCCCAGGCATTCCCAGGCATTCCCAGGCAGCTGCCTCCTTTCCCTGGGAATTTCCCCCTCAGCTCAGGGCTGGGAACCCCCCGGAGCGGGGTGGGAATGGTGAGGGGCTTCCCGGGCTGACCCAGGTGGAGGTTTCCCTCCTTTGACTCCTCCTGCGTTTATCAGTCCAGGACTTCTTCCCAGTAATTCCTTTCCAGTAAGATGAATTCCATGGTTCTTTGGGGCAGTTTCTCCCAGGAGCTCAGGGACAGGAGGACCCCCCGGTCGGAAGCTTCGTGGGGAGCCCCCACGTCCCCCCGCTCCGTCAGGCTCCGGGAAATCTCCTTCCAGACTGGGTAACACACGTGGGGCTGGAATAACACCCTGGATCACTGGGAATGCTCCCGAGCTGCACCTCGCTCACCCCACTGTCCTTGGCCCTGCTGGGGGGTCTCTGTGCACCCACATCCTCCTGGGGGGTTTCCAGAGCACCCCCAGCACTCCCGGGATGCCGCAATTCCCGCGGGTTGGGATCTCCCCGTTCCCATCACGTCCCCCTCGGTAAATTGGGAGTTTTGAGCACATTTCCCCCTTCACGGATTTGTTTATGGGTTGTGCACCTGGGCCCCTCGTTGTGCATGGAAAACACGTGGAAAAATAGAAACACTGGGGAACAGAAGCCCCTCGGGGTGTTCCGGGCGCTGTGGCCGTGCTGGCGGCGGTGCCAGGGTTCCATAGGGAAGGAATTCCTGGCGTCTCTCTGCATTCCCAGCTTCCCTTCCTCGTGAATCCCCCATGCCCAGAGAGCTGGTGACCACCAGGTGAGCAGGAAGGCTCTCAGGGTTATTGCCACCCCTCCTGGGGGAGCCCCATCCCTCCGTGCCGAGGGGTGGGAGGGGGACGTGTCCGGATGGAAGCGGGGCAGGAATGTGGCTGCTCCTTTGGCACCTGGAGCTGAGTTTGCCTCTCCCGTCTGGGGGCTCCTCTTTGACTCTACTTGGTGAAATGGGAATGCCTTGATGTGGTTTAGGAGTTTTGGGGCCGGGATCCGAGGAGGGATCTGGGAAGGATCCCGGGAGCTGTGTGTGTGCCTGCAGGGCTGGGCACGGGCACGGGGCCGGTCACTCCCTCACAGATCATTATTTATTGATAGAATTCCTGCATGGAAACGGGAGTCACTCGGCTCGTGGCCCCGTCAGGGAAGCAGAAGGCACAGGGAAGTGATTTGGGATGTGTCTTTTTCCTTGCAGAAACCAGAGAAGACAGAACCAAGCGGCTCTTCCGACATTATACTGTGGGCTCTTACGACACCTTCACCTCTCACAGGTAAGGAGCAGCACCTTTGGCATCCCAAGGAGGTTCATTTCCATGGAAAAAGTCTCTGTTTCTCCTGACAGAGCATTTTGTGTCCGTGGGAAGGAAACTTTTCTGGTTGGTTTGGTCAGTTATAGCCTAAACTCCAAGTCCTGGCTGAGGCTGAGGTGAACAGGGAGCCTGGCTCATGTCTCCATTGAGGATGGAACGTTCTGGAGAAGTTTTGAGGTTCTCCAGGGGCCAAAGAACCCGGTTTGGGTGCAGGTGCAGCTTGGCTCTGAGGGGGAGAGGAGGAGGTTGGTGTGCAGGGATGGCCTGGGGGCACCGGAGCGCTTGGATGTGCCGGGGGTGTTCCTGGGCTTTGAGGTGCTCTCCAGGGATATCCTGGGCCGTGGCACCTGAGCAGGCTCACCCTGGCATGGTGAGAGGCCAGACCTTTGGGAAGGTGGTCAGAGCGCCCAGGGGATGAGCTGGGACAGCAGAGGTGACGTTGCTGGTTCTTTGTCCTGTCGGATGCGGCTGGGATCTGGGAATGGTTGGATTCAGGAACGTGCTGTGGCACTGGGGTTCTGTGTTTGAGGGATGAACGTAGGGACACTCTGGAATATGCTCTTCAGAGCCGCTGTTCATGGAGGGATCTGGCCGGGGGTTGTTGTTCCTGGTGTGACAGGAGCGAGTCGTGAGGAGCCGTTGGACAAAAATTAATGTCTCCTGAACTCCTGGGGCTCTCCCACAAAGTGTGTCCTGCCTGACTGGGCTGCTCATCCCAGCTCTGTCTGCCTGGCTCTGGTTTGACTCCAGGGAATGTGTGTCACTTGTTTGGATTTCCAAAAATCCTGAGATCTGCTACTTCAGGGCTGTTGGTACTGGAGTGAGAGGGAAAGTGCTGCTGTGGCTCAGAAAACACTAAAGAAGAGAAAAAGAGGGGAAAAAATGATCCACTTCCACCGTGGCCAAAGGCTCCAGGGAACCCCCAGAAGGTCTGTGCTGGGGTCACTGGTGGCTCTTGGTCTTAAAGAGCAGGAAATGGGTGAAAAATTGAAATAGAGTCAAAATGCTGTTCTTTGAGTGAGGGAAGAGCAGGTGGGTGGGATTGGATCAAACGGGGTTGATAAACAGTGTGACAGTAAAAGAGATTTATTTTGGCACACGGAAGGGAACGCACACCAGGAGAAACACTGTGAGGAGCTCTTGCCCAGGATTTGCAATTCCTCAGGAATAAAGGTCTGATGTCACCGTGACATCACAGGGCAAACATCTGCTGGAGCACTGAGGCTTCACAACCAGCCCAAGGAGGTCAGAAAGTGGAATTGAAGCAGCTGGGGAGGAGGGTCCTGATAAACAGCAGCTGAATCCCAGCATGGAAAAGTGAGAAGCAAATTCCGTGGGGAAGAACCAGGAGTGGGATCTCACGTGCAGGGAGGTGTTGGACTGACTTCTGCTCAGCCTTTGGGGATTGCTTTGACTCCAGGCCAAACCTCCAGAAGCAAATTGAGTTTGTGGAATTGTTTGGAAAGAAACAAATACCCCTCCAGAATTGTGAATTAATAATTATGGATATCATGGAATCACAGAATGGTTTGGGTGGGAAGGGACATTAAAGCCCATCTTGTTCCAACCCCAGGGACACCTTCCACTAGCCCAGGTTGCTCCAAGCCCTGTCCATCCTGGCCTTGGACACTTCCAGGGGGTAACCACAACCTTTTTGGGCAACCTGAGCATGTTCCTGCAGCGAGGAGGTTGGACTGGGTGGCCTCCTTCCAAGCTCAGGAGTTCTGGGAGTCTCCTGGTGCAGCTTCTGAGCCCGTGTGGAGGAGGAAGGATGGTGGAATGGAGTGGAGTCGTCTCCCACGGGTGGGTGAGCCCCTGTCCCACCTGCTTTCCAGCTGAGTCCCTCAGGACAGAGGGCTCTGGGAGCAGGGTGGGGATGTTCTGTGGGGGCAGTTTGGCTCCAAGTGGCTCCATTTCCCCAGAATGTCCTCACAGGGCAGGGAAGGAGGTTGTGTGTGCCCTTACCTGCACCCTGAGCAGGTCTTTCCATCCTGGACTCCTCCAGGACTGTCTGCAGGATTCCAAGCCTCTTCTGCACCCCAGTCATCCCTGTCTTCTTGCAGATCCAGTTGGTCTTGGCATTCCCAGGCAGTCCATGGAACCATGGAATGGTTTGGGTTGGAAGAGACCTCACAGATCATCTCTTCCCAAGCCCAGGGCCTGCCAAGTCCTGGTGAGCTGGTGGAGCCTGGCTGGGACCTGCTGGTGCCACCACTGGCTGTGACACCCACAGGTCCTGGGGAGTGACCTGGAACTCATGGGAGGGTTTGAGCTGCACCCCTCTGGGGTGGTGGGTGCTTGTGGAGCTCCACCAGGAGCTGGAGTTGCGTGATCCTGGTGGATCCTTCCCAGCTCAGGTGATCAAGGCACGAGGAGCTGGAGCTGCAGGTCCCTCAGGTCGGGATCGTGGTGGCCCGTGGCAGGTGCTTTGTGCAGGTTTGGGAACAGAATAAACCACTCAGTGTCCTGCTCAGAGTCTTCCTGAGCCAGAGTTGATGTCCTTGTGTTTTAGAGCCTTTAATGGATCGTTATTCCCTTCGTTTTCCCAATGATGTGCAGCTGGAGTGGTTGAACTCCCCTCCTGCAATGGAGTGCCCAGCCCTGGAGGTGTCCCAGGAAGGCCTGGCCGTGGCACTCAGTGCTCTGGGCTGGGGGACAAGGTGGGGATGGGGCCCAGGGGGGNCAATGGAGTGCCCAGCCCTGGAGGTGTCCCAGGAAGGCCTGGCCGTGGCACTCAGTGCTCTGGGCTGGGGGACAAGGTGGGCATCGGGCCCAGGGTGGATCCATGGGCTGGGAGGGCTTTTCCAGCCTCAGGGATCCTGGGATTCTGAGAAGGTGCTGGGGTTGGCTGGGTGGAGCAGCAGAGGAGCTGCTGCTGTGTCCTCTGCTCCTGCTGTGCCAAAATACAGGGTGGAGACAGGAAAGGAGAAAGAAAGTCCTGAAGGCCCAGGTTAAGGCTCGTGGTTCGTGCCCAGGTTACTCTGAATGTGGTGTGAGGACTCACCTTAACAAATTGGGAAAAAACCCTGGATTTTTCCCCATTTTTTTTTAACCCTGAACCACTCGGGCCAACAGATCCCTTGGGAGCAGAGCTGGGAAGTAACCAGGGTGCTGTGGGATCACTGCAGCACGTCAGCAGCACCATTTCCAGGAGGGAGCTTATCCCATCATCCCCAACTTCACTTCAGGTCTCAGCTGTGGGAGAGGATTAACATAATGACAGTGTTTGAGGAGCAACTTAGAAAAGTGCTCGAGAAAATTCCACCCCGGCGGGTTTGGATTCCAGGGAAAGCTTTGGAAGCAGTGCCAGGGTTGAACGGATGCCCCGGGAAGCGGAGCAGGGAGCAGCAGCCACGGGCTGGCCGATGGAGCTGGGGATGGGATGGGATTTACTCTCTCTGGCTTAACGAGGTGAATGGAGAGCTTGGGGGGTGTGGGACATTTGGGGACACGAGCAGGTATCAGAACAGACAACATCAGAACAGAGGTCGGGGTTTGTGTGTGGAATTGGCCTCGGGGGCAGCAAAGCCTTTGAGATGTGACTTCACCACGGACGGTCGGGATGAGCTGAGGGAGAAACTCCCCTTGGATGGGTTCCCACCTCTCCCTGATGTCCCTTGGAGCTGTAACTGCTGGTAAAGACCAAGCAGGAGGCTGCTCCAAAGCCTGGGATGCACCCAAGGTCACCAGAGGGCAACCAGAGCCTTCCCCACCCTCTGAGGGTGAGGAGGGACAGGGCTCGGCCACCCTCGATGGTCCTGCAGGTCCCTCCCAACCCGGAATGTTCCGGGGCTCTGAACCTCATCCGGGCTGAACTCAGCAGGAGGCAGCAGGGAGGGGAGCCTGAGCTTGTCCTTACCAGGAGGAGGCAATCCCAGGGGGAATTGGCTCCTCTGATGAACCGTGTTATGGGAGGAGGAGATTAAAGGGATCCAAAATTACCTCCGGAACGAAGAGCCCGCGTTGTGCTCGGCACAGCTGGGAAGGAGGGGAATTGGGAGCAAGAGACAATTCGGGATTTATTTTGTTTCCTATTATTCAGTCTCAGGGATTAGTTGACCAGGGAGAGAGATTACAGCCGTGAGCATCCACGAGCCATCTGGATGGGCCTCCCCTGGAAAAGAGGGAAAACATGAGGGATCTGTAAGCAGGGATTTCTCTGCCCTCAGATGCTGTGACTGGCCAAAATAATGTGCACAATTATGGAATAATCGAGGCTGGAAGGGTTGTCTGCAGGTTTCTGGCACAGCTGGTGACCCAGAGCAGGTTTCTTCACGTGTCTCCAAGGCTGGAAGTTCCACAGGGCCCCTGAGGGCTGAGTTTCCAGGGGAAAAAAGCTTTCCCCGTAGTATCTCCTTTCAATCCATGGTGCTTTGGTTCGTGTTGTTGCCTCTTGTCCCATCCCTGGGTGCCCCTGGGGGTCCCTTTGTCTCACTGCAGCAGCGAGGAGTCCACCATGGAATCATGGAATTGTTAAGGTTGGAAAGGACCTTTAAGATCATCAGCCCAGCACCACCACCACGCCCACAACCATCCCAAGTGCCACATCCACACGTTTGGTGAACACTTCCAGGGATGGGGACTCCACCACTGCCCTGGGCAGCTGTGCCAGGGCTTTACAACCCTTCCCATGAAACAGATTTTCCCTGATATCTGATTAAAACCTCCCTGGCTCAACTTGAGGCCGTTTCCTCTCATCCTGTCACCCCTCCCCTGGGAGAAGAGGTGTTCCTTCAGAATTTTCCATATTTACTATCTGCTCTGGCCTGTCATTCCCTGTGAGTTCAGGATTGGTGGTAAAGCCCCTGAGCAGTTGGAATTCTCCCCAGTTCCTGCTCCAGTGAGTTCCCATCCAGGAGGCAAACAGCAAAGAGGGGGGAATGGCATCGACTTTTCCCATTGTTCTGTCTCCATGACTGATGGGAAAGCAGGAGAGGATCCATGTTCCAGGCAGGGCTTGG